CTTCTAACGAAAGTTGTAGAGCTCATCAAGACGCATCTAATGGTAGTAAGAACATTAAAATTGGCTTGGTGGTTCTTGAAAAATCTTTAAAAAACATTTTGGTGACTATATAAAATCTTTTTTAAAAAAAGAGAAATTCTATTTTCACCTGGGTTAAAATCACCTGATATATAATTTCTATTATATTATATAATGCAAACTACTATAGCCAACTAAAAATTCTATAGATTGGTTAGTTAGAGGTTAGAGTAGATGAATTTTACGATATTATATAAATTTATATTATATAGTATAATAAAAATTATATATTGGGTGACTTTAACCTGGGTGAAAATAGAATTTTTCTTAAAAAAATCAATTTTCTTTAAAGAAATTTTATATGTTAATGAAACGTTTTTTAAAGATTTCTCAAGAACTACCAAGCCAATTTTAATGTTCTTACTACTATTAGATATGTCTTGATAAGCTTTACAACTTTTGTTAGTAGCATAAAGATATTTGGTATGACTAGGCTATTTACGCAAGCAGATAGAAATAGTATTTTGGCTAAAAATAGGGTTAGGGTTAACATCTTTTAATTATTTTTCGTAGCCAAAGTTTTCCTTGTGCGAATGCCACATTTTTTTAAAAAATTTCTACATTTTTATCTATATGATTTATATATAGAACTACATTGTGTTACACTATAATAATTAATCAGTTCACTAGAGAATCATCAATTAAGTTAAATATTTTGCTTTAGCAGTAATATAATCTTAATAAAGAATCACTAGCAAGGTTGTCAAAATGAAAAAAATCTTCAATATTAATCTAGTTTTATATTTTCAAAATATCTTTTTAGTTTAGATATCAAATAAGTAAAAAAAGTTTATTTAAAAGAAAATTTGATTTCTATTAAAACTACTCAAGTTATTCTACTCCTTAGTATTAATATATTTGTAATTTTATTAATAACTAGAATTCTTCAAATATTTGATTTAATATTTAATATAATTTGATATAATTTGAATTATATTATATAAAATATAAATTATTCAATTAAATACTTTAAAATAATGATAGTATCTATAGATACTATTATTCTTTTAAAGTATTTAATTGAATAATTTATATTTTATATAATATAATTCAAATTATATCAAATTATATTAAATATTAAATCAAATATTTGAAAAACTATATTAACAACAAACCTACTTATATAGAACCAAAAATATTATTTATTTTTAATATCTTTATAATATTTTTTATAGTTTGGTTTTTTGAAATTGTTAACCAAGAGACTATCAAAAAAATTTAAGATATTATCTAAATATATAATTGTTATTTATAATTTTTTTTTTATTTTTTACAAAAAGATATTATTAATTTTATTATAGAACAGTAATATGATATACTTTTTAGATTGGTTATTTTGGATTTTAGTACTGCTTAGTATTAGCATTTTATATATAAATACTCTTGAAAGCAGCTATATAATGTTAGGCTTAGTAATTAGATTAGAAACTCTTCTGTTTATACAAATTTAGTCTAATAAAAATTATTAGTAAAATCATCTAAGCAAATATATATATATTTATATATATTTATAATTATAAATATTCTATTTTAATTAGTATAACAGCTAAACAAATATATTTTTATTTAGGTAATCATGCTATTAGATTTTATTCAGATATTCATATACTAGTATATTACAATATAATCTAAATATACCAAGTTGTAACATTGTAAATAAATGTTTTAATAAAATTTGATTATACCATATGTACGTATTATAACTTGTCAAATTTTAGCAAAAAATAAGCACCCCATCATCTATCCTACTTTTTTCAACTTCATATTAGTGGAGATAGTAATAAAATACTGAAGTTATTCCCGTTGATCTGAAGTTGAAAAAAAAGTAGGGTAGAGAGAGGATGGACGTTTGTTTTACGATAATCGGACAGGCTAAATGAACATGGCTAATTGTACATGAGTCCAAAATAATTTTGGACATGTGGCATTCAAAGTTAAGGCTAATTGAATTTGAAGCTAGACTAAATGCTAAAGTTAACTAGATGAAGGCAGAAAAAAAAAACTTGAACTTAATGCTGGTAACAACGATGAATTTTAGTAATATATATATTCTCAAATACGAATTCTTTTTACAGTACGTAAGATATTTTTGAATATGAATTAATATATTTAAATGTCTTATTTTGGTTTATCGACATCCAACCGACATCACGTAACTAGAGGTGCAGACGAATCGTCCGTAACTATATTAAACAATTATAAAAAGTTACGGCAAACGTGCCGTAACTTTTTATTATCTTATTTAATATAGTTACGGCACGTTACGGCAAAGTTACGGCATCATTGGGACGATTCGCCTGCATCTCTACACGTAACGTAACAATTTAGAATAATTGCCAATGATTAGAAGGGATTTACAAAATGTCATTAAGGTGTTCAAACAAAGCTTAAAAGTGCATGTGTTACCATTGCGGAATTGTAAAAAAAGCTATGCAATACCCATTACAGAAACATTTTCAGTCATTAGTGATGTGATACAATTCTACCAAGATTTGGTATATGTTTATCCGTTATCGTTATTGTGCATGTAGAGATATTTGTAGATCATCGTTTTATAAATGTTGATTGTAAAATTTTTTCGTTGTCTGTGCCTCTTTCATTATCATGACTACACTTAATTATATTTTAAAGGTTGATATTATTAAAGCCAAAAATCTCGCCATTAAAGATAAAAATGGCTTTTCTGATCCTGTAAGTATGATTGCCTTTTATCTTGCGTTAGTCAACGAATGAAATTCATAAATTTTTTGTAATTTTTTGTAACGAATAATAGTACATTACCATGAACATTTGTGATGAAGATTATAACACCCAGGTTATTTCTAAAAATTTGAATCCTATTTGGGATGCAACATTTGAACATAAAGTTAATCCTGAACACCCACCATCTGAAATTCACTTCACATGTTGGGATAGAGACTTTTTTGGGCGAGATTATATGGGAGAAATAGATATTTCATTGGAACAATTTTGTGAAAGAGGTCACATGGGTTATGGTGACCCATCTAATACGGTATTATTCGATATTTATATAAGTATTTTGCGCATATTCAAACTTTCATACGAATTAAATTTGTTTGTAGGCACATTGGTATCCATTGGTCTCCAAACGTCAAAAAGAAAGTGTATCTGGTGAAGTTTATATCAAGATTGGACTTATTGATAAAGATAACCAATTTTTAGACACCAGAGAATGGGACTCAATTTGGAGACAGATGAGCAATTTAAAAATTAATGAATCATCAGAGACCATAACTCCTGTGGATAAGAAGGTGAAAATTAAACCCGAAAGACAGTATAGTTATTCGCAAAAGAATGATGTTATTGGAATAACTTTTGTTGAAGTTGTACGTGCAACCGATCTTCCTGCTGCAAGGAATGGTATGAAACCAAGAATTAAATTTTTATTGTATTAAATAAATAAATATTTATTTACTTAATTATTTATTGTTTGATATTTATATTTGCACAATTTAGTGACTCGCACCGGTTTTGACATGGATCCTTTTGTTGTTGTTTCATTTGCCAAGCACACATTCCGTACACGTGTCATTAATCATAATTTGAATCCAGAATGGAAAGAAAAATTACACTTTCCAGTGAAAAGAACCGAATTAGACTTTTTAGTTAAATTTAGTGTTTACGATTGGGATAAATTCACTACTAATGATCATATTGCCTGTCAAACTATTCCGATGAAGCAATTGTATGATCAAGCAATGAAAACAAATAAGAATAACATAGAAGTGGAAAACATTGGAGATGGAATGGGGGAAGAAGAAATTTCGCTCAAAGTTGACGACGAATGGGCCGATAAATATAAACCAAAACTTACCATTCGTTTAAAGTTTATATCATACGACCATTTAAGGATTCAATTTTGGCGGTCATATGCAAAACATTACGATTCTGATGGGAATGGAGTATTAAATTTTGTGGAACTTGACTCTATGTTAAATAGTTTAGGATCATCTTTGACGAATCAAACGATATCAGGTTTTTTTACACGATTTGGTAAAAGTCCAGAAAATGGAGAATTAGAATTTTCGGAGGTTATTAGCTGCTTAGAAGACTGGCTAAATGACATCTCTCGTTATAGTGCAGATATTACTGGAGAAGAGTCCGATAATGAGCATTTAATCTTTATGAAAGAATGTCCATTTTGTCATAGACCGGATCTTACACATTTACCTGAAACTGATATTGTCACACATGTGGCAATATGTGCAAGCAATGATTGGTCAGAAGTTGCTAAAATTGTTACGGGAGATTTTGTCACAGAATCGCAAGCGCAAAGGAAATGGTTGTCTAGAGTTATTAATAAAGTGGGATATGGTAGTTTTAGGATCGGTGCAGTGAGTATACTTTTTTTTTTCAAGGTTATTACGCAGCGAACTTGTTTTATACTTATTGAATTGTTAACAATTTATTTAGAACAATGCAGTTATTCTTGCACAAGATCGCGTAACCGGAGAAATAGTGGAAGAAAAAATGTCAACTTATGTCCGTTTAGGTATTCGACTCTTGTACAAGGGTAAAAGCACAGTTGAGTCTAAAACCAGTATGTATATAGATATATATACATATATATATATATAGATAGATATAGATAGATATATATATATATATTATAGATATATATATAGTGATGAGTG